GGAGAAGAAGCCCAGAAATCTGTGTTTTAATAAGGCCGCCAGGTGATTCTAATGAACCACTGGCATTTAAGCACCACTGGTCTAAATTTCTCTAAAGAGAAACTTGAACTGGGAATGGAACTATTCGTCTGAACTACCTGGGCTCATTGGTAATATTTTTCAAAAATTGAAAGTAATGCTATTCTCATTGATATACACAATGGCAGTTGGATGCCCTACTGTTACAAATATAGCCCCTTTTAATTTATAGTAAATTCTCAGGTATTATTTTTAAACAATGAATAGGAGCTCTCAGGATATTACAAGTAATATGTATTCTATTACAGTCCATTAAATTCTCACTTCTATGTTTAGGACTCAATGGCCACCACAAATGAAGCCCAGTAAAAGTCCTGTGACATCAGTGATATCAGGCAGAGCACAAGAGCATGCACATGTGCAAGGAGGAAAGAGGGAGGAAGAGAAAAAGGAAATAAGAATAAACGGGAAAAAATCAAGACCAAAAACCAAAATTGAAGGAGGGTACTTTCACCCTAAGATGTAACTCTGACTCATTTGTAGTCAACAAAAATGATTCATTTCAGGTGCTTATGTTTCTTTCTGTCCAATGTCAAGCATTATAATTTCATAATTAAAAACTTATAAGGAGCAGGCTATGGAGATAAATTTAAAAAGTAAATTACACCATAATCCTAATAAACTATAGATAATGTCTAGACTGAAATGTTTCTGCATTCCTGGCATCCTAACTTTTAAAATTAAAAAAAAAAAAGGATTAGAAAAGTTTGTATCCAACCAAATTATGCTCCACAACAAAACAGCAATGCAAATACAGCTCTAAAACTGGCAACAACCAACTCCTTCTGGAAACATTGATGAAAATCATGTTTTTTCCTCAGGAGATACGAAGTCTTCTTAAATTTTCATTTCTATGACTTTCCTCTCTCCTCGCTTCAGAACCTCAAAGCTTATTAACAGATCTTGTCATTGAAAACTGTAATTATTTTTAAGGTACATAGCTCTACAACTTGAGTTATCCATATACTCATACTGCTTTTGAAGAGGCTGTTTTCCTGACCCTTCCATAGGACTTTAAGTGGACTATTGCATGAGTGTTGGAATAGAAATTTTAAAGGGTGATAAGTAAAAACATCTAAGTGTACTTAAGTCAAAAGTACAATCAGAGTATATACCCTATGTTAACTTAGATATACTAGAAACAGAGAGAGGGTATGACACATTGGACTGGAAAATGTAATTCTTTTTGTACCATTTTAAATAAATTATATTATCTCATATTTTGCCTAGTGTAAGAAAAAAAAATCTATCAATAAGATACACTGTCATAAGAAAATTTTGAGCTAAAATTTATGTACCTGCACCTTAGGTAAACCTTTATCACCACAGTGACTTTCTTAAATTCCTTGACTGAGAGAAAATATTAGAGTTTTCCTGTCTATTTCCTGTTGGGTGATATGTCTATTATTAGAGGCACAGGTATGATACTTGGTAGAAAAGTACTAAGCTAAGATTCAAATTGTGAAAAACATTAGGAAGCTCAACAAATTTTGTATAGTACAAATATAAATACAGAACTATACCTAGACATATCACAGTAAAACTGATGAAAGCTGTATGAGAGAAAATAATACACTGCATTAAGGGGAGCAAGAATAAAATTAAGAGATGATCTCTCATCAGATCTCTCAGCCATCTCTGCAGTGGAGACCACAAGACTATGCGATGACATATTTAACATGTGGAGCTACAAACGTACTAACATTTCTTCAGGCTGAGAGAAATAACACAAGATGGTAACTTGAACCCCAAGTTCTCCACTGTGCGCCCTGGAACTCCAGTTCTATATAGACAAAACCTATATTTTCCGCTATCCTTAAACTACACTTCATTGAAGAGTCGCTACATCCTAATCATTAAAGAAAACTGCTTAATGTCTTCTATTAATTTCTTTAAACACAACTGTTTAAAGCAAAAATCACAACACTATTTTGCTGGGTTAATAATGTATATGGATGTAGTATATATGACAGTAATAGCCCAAAGCGTGTGTGGAGGTTGGGGGCACAGAGCTATACTAAGTGCAAAAGGCTAATTGTCATTAACGTGATGTAAATTATGATTAAAAGATGTATACTGTAATTCCTAGAGAAAAATTAACCAAAAAATTTAGATAAAATGTCAGTAGAATATTTAGAATGTTATATTAAAAAATATTTGCGTAATACAAAAGAAAAAAGCATAGGAACAGAAATTAAAGAATTAAAGAAGTTACACCTAAAACTAATATAATGTTATATGTCAATTATACCTCAACTAAAAAATAAAAAGAGATGAAAGAGAGAACCCACAGCTCTTACAAGAAATAGATAACCTAAATAATCCTACATCTATTTTAAAAAATAAAATCATAGTTTAAAATATTCCCACTAAGAAAACTACAAGTCTAAGTGGATTCACCAGTGAATTCTACCAAACATTTAATACCAAACATCTGATAGCAAAGCTAGACAAAAACTGTACAAGAAAACTACAGACAAATAACGCTAGTGAACATAGAAACAAAAATCCGTAACAAAATATTAGCAGATCAAATCCAGTTAATATAAAAAGTATAATAAATATACCATGACCACATGGAGTTTATACCAGAAATTAAAAGTTGCTTTACTGTTCCAAAATTAATGGGATATACTGTATTAAAAGAATAAAAAATAAAAATAATATGACCATAGAGATAGCAACTGACAAAATCCAAAAGCGATACCCATAGAAAAAGCAACTGACAAAGTCCAACACACATTCATGATAAAAATCTAACAAAGGGCATCTACAAAAAACACACAGGTAACATACTTAATGGTGAATGACTGAGTGCTTTCTATCTAAGAGCAGGAAGAAGACAATCATGTCTGTTCTCACCACTTCTTTCGACATTGTATTAGAGATCTTAGCCAATAGGGTAGGGCAAAGAAAAGAAATAAAAGGCTAGACAGAAGAGAAAATGAAAAGCATAACTGTTTATTCACAGACAATTTGAATAGGTACAGAGAAAATCTCGAAGAATCTATAAGAAGTTACTCCAACTAATAAATTAGCAAGATTGCAGGATACAAGACCAATATAAAAACCTATTGTGAAAAAAAAATGTATTTCTAAACACAATTGGAAATTCACGACAGCATCAAGAAACACTAAAAACTTAGTGACATATTAAACAAAATGTGAGCAAGACGTGAACACTAAAAATTAAAAAATACGGCTAAGAGAAACTAAAGAAAACCTAAATAAATGAAGAGATACACCATATTCATGGAGTGGAGGAATCAATATCAAGAAGGAATCCTTCACAAATTGATCCACAGATTAGAAGCAATCTCTATCAAAATAAGCTTCCTTTTCTCCAACCAAACCATATGTCCATCCCCTCCATCCCAACTCCTCTACCATACACTCTGGAACTCCAGTTCTATTGTTAAAGTCCTCTATATTCCTCTATGTCTTCACACTCTTCACTGAAGGTTAACTGCATCCCCTACTCATTAAATTAAAGAGTCTTCCCAAGTATACCACTTGGCCCTGAAATGCTATCAAAGCAGAGAATGAGATCTCCACATCTCACACCTTAAGAGTCCAGTGTTGGTATCTTCATCAGTCCTCAAAGCCATTTCTGAATCATTCTCCCTCCCGTTAAAAAAGTGCCTGCTCACCTAAGCTCAACTCAACAATACCATTTTCCACTATCTATTTCTCAACCATCTCCTGCTTTAGTCACTTTTCCCTAATTCATTCATTAAGACTTTACACCCATATCAGTCCTCATATCATCACCTCAGAGCTCACTATTCAACAGCCCTTCTAATCTTTGGCTGCATCACAACAGGGGGGGTTCTCTTCCAATGTCATCATTTGTTTAATGTAAGTCTTCCTAAGCTCCATGAAGATAGGAACCAGAGCTATCTTGTTCACTGCTGAATCCTAAAGACATAGTATAACGTATACTTATAGTTAAATAGGTTTTTTCATTCCCACTAAATGCAAAAATTAACAATAAGAACAGTAAAGTATCTAAGAATTATATATAAAGAACAATCAAAGGATGTTTTACCGAGAGAAAGTATTTGCTGAATGATAAATAACTAAGGGAAATAGCTATCTTAAAATATAAGGTCAATTATATAAAAAAGTTATCACTAACAATTCTGAAACTTGAGATGAGGAAATGGCTTTGCTACTAATTAGTGGCTTTATTTAATGTTACTGAGCTTTGGTTTGCTCATCCATAAATTAAAGAAGTTGGACTCTGAGTTCCAAACATTTTATTTCATTCATGCCTGATGGTGCTCTAGATGTAGAATGTAGCCCAACAAGGGTGTTATAAGAAGGCAACCTGAAGACTTAGAGTTGTCAAGAAATGAACGAAGTTACCTTACGAAAAAATGTACTCTATGAATACTAAGAGATCTAGCAGAACTTCACATATGATTGGATTAGGTCAGAAGTCAGCAAACTAGAATATCTGAAGCAGCCACTATTTATGTAAATGAAGTTTTACTGGAACATAGCCACACCCATTCATTGTCTATGGCTGCTAACCCCGCCCCCAACACCCCGCCCCGCTGCATGCTACAACAATAGAGTTGGATAGTTGCCTAAGGACCATGTGGCCCACAAAGCCTAAAATATTTACTCTTTGGCACCTTAAGAAAAGGTTTGCTGAGCCTGGACTATTATGATCTACAAGGTTCATTTTACTTTATAATACACTGGAGATGAAAGAGTTGCATTAAAATGCTCTTAAACAGAGGATAGGGATAAAACGGGAAAAAAGAATAAGAGGAGCGAATAGGTCAAACACATGAACTCAACTCACCTCCCAGTGATTATATTAGCTTCTCTCTCTAAACTCATCCTCCAGTCACTGAAACATTCGTTTCCAAGAACACACAAGATAAAACAAGCATTAAACATTTAACACGCACCTGCCCTCCTTCACTTTCTCTGCATTCCCTCGACATATGTAGTTTTCAATGTAACCATCACTGCAGTTGATTTTTGACCAATCTGGGTCACAAACATCCAAGAAGTGAGGCCGCAATCTGCCTATCGAATACTTGGCAATGTCAGTCAGGGACTGACTAGCAGCTGCACCAAATAAAAATGTTCCAATGGCTTTGTAAATAGTGGCTATGTAGTTATTCCTGATAAAGGAATTTGAGTGCAAGAGGTTAGAGTAAACAGACAGGGTTTCTCCAATAACCATCTGAAAAAGAAAAGAAAAATAAGGTTAAAGCAGCAACCAGGCACTTTAAACAAAATCAAAAATAGAAACAAAAATGGCAAATCACAATAAAATCTTTATTTTAAAAATACCACCACCCCGTTTTTTCCTTACAAATGGAGAGTCAACTTAAGATATCTCATTCTAAACCACAAAGAAAAAGATGTCAGATCAATTGTGGATACTGCTTACAAAGCAATGGCTAAGCCAGAATAATTTCAAAGTCTATTCAAAACAATATGGCCTTATTTCCTTTGTTGTATTAAAAAAACTTGAGTTTAATAAGTAGACTGTGATGTGTTATGGACAAAAACTATGGTTTATTTGAAGAACACAAACCTCCCCAATTAGAATATCCCTTACACAAGTACTTTTGACAGTCTTCATTTTTATCAAACATTCCTTGGAATCAAAGACATCTATCATATTAAAAAGGGTAAAATAGTTAAGACAGTTTAAAGGAGTAAAAAATATGAAAGCAGGACTCTAATATAAATTCAGGGCTCTAACGCTGAGGCCAATGGGTACAGAGGGCAGAGATTAGCCGGTAGCCCCCCACTCCCATCCTGCCTCTCCAGGAGACCTTTAGGCCCAGCTTCCTTAAGAAGTCTCATTAAAAGATCAAACACACACTCGATATTCTCCTTCTCTAAGAAAACATTTCAAGTGATTCTTTCCTCTCTATTTTTTCACCAACTTCTGTAAAACTGGAGTTAAAGCCTTCCCAGATTCAGAAACAATGTGTGTATGAGCACACAACAGAGTAATGAGTTTAAAGGCATAAAAAGGTTTCCAAATACTTTACACTTCACAGACCAATAACCTGAGAAATTAAAACAATACTGAATGGCAACATTATAAAAAACTACATTTGCTAATAAAATAAGCTACACTCTAGCTACCTGAGACCAAAATAAACACTTAAACAAATCTGCTTGCTAATTTATGTTGAGGGTGAATGTGTCACAAAGTTTCGCTTAAGATACATACTAGTTTTGCAGTTTCATTTTACATAAAAATTGTTCAATTTACATAGACAACTTTACAAAGCATTCAGACATTTCCATTTAGTGAGGATTAACTGTCTTTAGTGTGAGCCTTACCATACGTGAATAAATGGTTACCTCCTGAAAAGGAGTTCAAGAACCTGATACCATAAATTCTTTCCTCATCTGGCTGGACGGCTCCTAAAATTCCATAATTAGAATGTTATAACTTTGACAACTAGACTATGAAGTCTACAAAAGCAAGAATGAATTTTTAGTTGTTGACTAGAAAGCTAGCACCACTACAGTGACCTAAAACGGAATAGGTAGTCAATAAATTTTAATTGAAGATGCTGCCTCTTGAGCAAAAACAAGCACCCTTAGCTTTAACACACTATGCCCCAGAGAAATATATTCCTCTTTGTGGTCCTTAATGCGAATAATTGAATCAGATGTTTTCCTGAGAACAGGTCTCACAGGAGAAGAAAACCACATGCACTTCTGGGGATGCCCTACCTGTGCAACTCTGTGTAGGATTCTCCCAGACTGCTTCCCGTGGCTTTGCATTAAAGTATACACTATCTCATCAGACTGCTGTGTTCCAGCACTGCCTTAATAGATCAGCAGCAAGAAAAAATTTCTCTAATGCTCTGTTATAAAACTGATCTTTGATCATTTAAAATAGATAGCAAGTATATTAATCAACCACAATTGGAGCAGTTGAATCTTCCACATCTCAGCTGTCAGCTGTTCTTGAGTAAGCAAGCAACTATTTTCCAGAAACAGGTATTAATTTTTTTGAGTCTCCCTAGTCACAGTGATTGTTGTATAGGATCAGCCAAACCCTGGTTCTTGACAGAAAAATCAGCTCACTAGGAGCAATCAGAGCACTGGGCACAGATTAAAAGCTGATCTACAGTAGTAGTGTAAGCTGAAACTTAACCCTTAATACTGGAGAAGGATAGGGGGACTCTAAAGCTGACAAATGCTAGGTCAATTTACATCATTTTGTATTATATGCTCCATCTTTATTGAGAGAAATAAACGAGAGAAGTTCTAAATCAATTCTTCTAAATTAAATGTTGGGATGTGTCTGTGCATTTCACCTACACATGGCAGCCATATTTTTATTTTCATATCTTATCTCTTTGAACCATTTATGCCAATTCTTAGCCTTTGATGAAGTCAGCACTTAAGCTAACTGTAGCCTAATCTTAGAGCTGAGATGACTTGTCATGCATTACTTACTCAGATTCTAAAGACAGGATAAATTATTAAAGAACTAAAGATAATGTTTGAGGGAGTTAAATACAATACTTCTGAAAATCAAAGCTAATAATTATCTAAATCAGTGTGATCAAACCATTTAAAACCTATGCACCACAGTATTTTCTCTCCATCTCCTTTATATCTCCACCAACCAAGATGATTTTACACATCTCTACACCGTCCCTGTAGTTATGTGTCTTCCATTCAGGGCTACCTTCCCAAAAGAATAGTCTAAAATCACTGACATACTTCCACTCCTTCCTAAATATCTCTAACTACCTCTATTCCCTATATTCTACTGAATCCCTCTCAAAAGTCAAAATGGTCTCATAAGATTGAACAGATTTTCCTCAACCCTCATTTACCTTAACATTAGTAGTCTTTGACATAGCTGACTATGCCTCCTTATTGAAATTCTCCCTTCGCTTCTGAGAAACTACCTTAATTCTGGTTCTCTACTAGGCTCCTTCACTCATGTATTTGTGGCACATTTGCAACTTACATCAAAGACTTGGTATGAACTCTGAATCATAACTAAAAAGTTTTTTTAAAGAAATGATTTACCTTCTAGTTAATAAAATTAAACATATACAAATCTAACCAAGTCCCACCTAAAAGAAGCTGAGTTACTGAATAAACTAAAATTATTTTAAATTACTACATAAAACCACTGCCCTAAGCAGGTTTGTCTTTGTTGATATGGTTAATATGAAAATAGTACTTTACAGCACTTTTAAACATTCTGTTCTTTTTTTTTTTAAGAAACCTACACTCGACTTACTTGCTATTTTATTAAATATAAAGATAACTTTCACACAGGTGAGGCTGAAATAGTAAAACGTTCCAAGTTAACAAAATATAAACAATGAGTTTTTGCTAACTGAGTGGCCAGTCAGACCCTGCACTTGCTGTGCAGGCTGCGCGCCTGCACGGTGCCTGGCAGTCAGCCCTCTGTCCTGTTGCGGGCCTCTCGTCTGCAGTGAATTTCTGTAGTTTTGCTTGTATAGCATCCTTTTTACTGAGACACAAAGAAAATTAGAATTGAAAGACAAGTACATCTGCAGCAGTGCTTGAGTATTTGAATCCTGTCTGAAATCAGCTACAATTTGCAACAGAGTCCTACTTAAAAAATGATATTTAAATAGTAATTTCTCAGAACATACATACTTTAAAAAAAAAAAAGGACCTTACTCTTACCCAATCCTTAATGGAAGAATCATAGGCTTGCCTCTCTTTCTTTTACTGGTAAAAATTCAAAGTAACGATTTGTTCAGATTAAAGGGATCCACTGATTTATTAAAACTTCACCATACTGTAGGAGAGTTACCAACGTTAATGCATCACTACTCCAGTTTCATCCTAGCGCCTAGGACTTGCCCGGCTCCATGGAAGGCAGCAAGAATACCAAGATGAACAAGGCACCATCCCTGCCTCCAAGGAGCTCATAGTCTCGTGAAGCACACATTTGTATAACTAATTATGTACCACAACTTATGAGCTGTTTAACTTTCAGTGCTAATAAGGAGCTCTGATCATTTTTAAATAAGACATTAAATTTCTAAATTAAGAAGTGTCTTTTATTTTTAATAAACTTCAAAACCGACAAGACATGTATGCCATTATCTTGTTGACCTATCTCCTGGACCACATTTTCTGCTTTGAACTAAGATAAATCTTGTTTCTAAAGTTACAAGTTATGGTGTATGGAACTAATCTAACTCATGGAATCTGTGGGTCAATCGCTTGATGTCTTCCCTAGAGCAAATTCTCTAAGCATTCCCATCTGAAATCCTAAAGAATAATAGTAAATATTGTGTTCCAGTACCAGTAAAAATTCTTTCGTGTTCAATGCTATTTACATATAGAAGTTTGGTCTCTCCCATTTCTGGCATTATCTAAAAATTCTTTAGAGTAAACATGGGTTAAATGAAGTCTTAACATTAGTTAGCAATTGTCCTTTTCCAGAATCAGTAACTAGAAAATAAGTACATATACACAGATTCAATAAATTATAAAATAATATCCTAGGTATAAAGTATGCTAGAAACATTGACAGGAGCGTTCATCTATTGCATGATTACTGAAACCACAGCAATTTAGAGCTCTAAAACTCACAGTGACTTGAAAAGATCAGCATAAAACCTACACATATTCAGTAAGGTTCTTTTAATTATACATTGTTATTCTTTTGGCCCCACTTGAAATAGCTGAAATTATCTTGATCAAATAACACCTTCAATTAAAAAACACACATTGTTTTAGAGGGTAATGCATTCAATCATTAACAGATTAACACAAAAATTAAGCCAACTGCTCAAAAGTGATAAATTTGGAAAAAGTGGATTTAACTTACAACGATAATACTGAATGGAATGAGTATTCCACCTAATAACGCATAAGGTATGGTGTCTTCTTTGTAAGGGTACTTGATGGACTCATCATTACAGAATAATCCTCGTTGGAAGGGGGTATGCCTTGAAGTAAGAATTGCAAAAGGCAATCCAGCTAGCAAAAGGAATAAATGAAAATATCATTAAAAAGGAAATATCAAAACTGATTAATGGCAGTAATTATCCCAGAGGCTGTGTTTAAAAATACATTTGCCATGAAAATAAATAAGAGCACATGTAAAAAGGAAATGCAGCAATGCATGCAACAGAAGTTAGAAAGATTACAGTTTAGGGCAAAGATCTTTTTTCTACAGGAAACACTTCCAAGTCCTCTCTT